CGACCACACCTCCTGGGCTCTGCAGCAGTCCATGAGGAGGTGCTGTAAAGTCTCGTCCTCCTCACAGTTAATCATGGGGCATGTTCCTTTATTTACACTGCAGGTTCATGTGAGTTCACGCACAGCAGCAGTGGAAATGGCACTCTCTATAAAAGGCAATGCTCTCCTCAGGCTCACCGCTCAGGCTTTTCAAACTGCTAACCTCCACACAAAACGACTCCTGATCCACTTCTATATTCTATGTTTCATTAGTGAAGATCTTCGAGCCGCACTGGGCTACTTTAACTTCAGCTCTGAAGTACAGCAGCAGCTCGACCATGCCTTATATTGCATCAGCCGGACGGTTTCTTCCTCCTCTCAGACCATGTGCACTTCCAGGACAGAATACGCATGACTGAGAAGCAACCACGCTGTGCATACTTTCACTAACAACTGCAGCCTGTGCAACATGGGTAACGAACTAAACCTTAAGAAGAAGTCAGAATGATAAACTTTAAACGTCTTACCTTCTTTAAAAAACGCCGATCAGTGATATATCTTCTGTTTATTTCAGTTTACGCGTCACAAGTGTGGACAAAAGTCGCGTAAAACCGCTTTTTTCTGCAAGGAACTTGTGACAGATGGTTTGTTTGGCCATACACAAATACACGCGTGTACCAACGGAAATCCAGCTAACACACCGACACTGGGAGGTCCGCCCTGCTGTCCATGGCTCCACCCGACTATTATTAGCTGAATATCAGGTTATAATTGTCTTCTCGCTGCAAGCACCACCTATAACCACAAGATGGCGCTCTTTACAAGCAAATCACCCTCCCTCCAGCCCCTCCTGGGTCTATGAGGCATCCATGCTATCAGAAACATAAACACACTCTATAGTCATGTCTGTATTTTACATTTGGCACTATATGATTTGTCGACATCTTTCCTGATGCTCCTTCCATCCTCTCATGGTTGCATAAATGCAATCACAATAACACATAAATATGGATTTCTTGAGGAGTTGCAAAAGTCTCAGCGGGGAAACAAAGCTGTTACGCTCCATTCTCTGAGTTTCCTGCTGTGGCTGTGGAGCAGAGCCATGTTTGTGATCCTCTTATTTCAGCCCCATATATGCGCAAAAACTACACCAGGATTTATAACGCAAAGGAGATCCTTACAGACTGCTCAGCATAAAAAAGGAAGCCACTCCAGTCATGACTAAGCTCCATCCTGCTTGAGATGGAGAGATTCCTTCCAACCAGATCAGTTTGAGGCCCTGCTGTGCTGAAACTCTCTGCAGAGGCTGTTGAGATCAGTGTGAAACTGGGGCTGCTTCATACTTTCTTTGCTTTGACTTGCCCGTATACTGTATGTATCTAAGCTCAATAAGATCTAATTGGTAAGAGAAGTCCTGTATATGCGGCCTCATCTGACATTTCTAGATTTATGGTTGACTGCCGCTCACCCTGTGGACCAATTGTGGATAGCCTTGATAAATGGGAGTCAGTGCACTTGGTCATTTTGAAGTAATGCTGTTCCTGTGTGACCAGTAGAAGGAAGCATGCTCCCCCACACCACATATTGCTGTATTTTGCTGCTTTAAGATATTTACACATTTATGGTGGGGAATTTCCCACCTCATGAATTTAGCTCTGGTTCTCTGGAGCAGGAGTACTGATGGTTTTCATTCAAGCTGTTTAATGAGGAATGAATAGACACTAGATACCAGGAGAATGCATTTAATTACCTTGCACAATAGAAAACAAGTGGCACTGTGGGTCCCAGAGATCTCCATTGGAGCCAGTCTCTGCCAGTGTTGCATAAAGATGAAGAACGGGCTGTAATGACAAAAAGAATCTCAGCACATTCACACTCTGCTTGGCCAGACAGCAGTCCCTTCTCCTTTGCCTCCTGCCAGAGTGCTCCACTCAGACGCCCTGGCACAAATGATATCAATCACAATAAAAGTAAAGATTCAAATCGGTTTGACCCAGGAGGGACAAGGATTCCTCCTTAAGCATTTGATACTAACACTCCAAAGAGAAGATTGATATCAGTTTTCATCTTGCTTTCAGAAAGTTGTGTTTGTGCCTCTCATGTATTACATTTGCAATCCAGTCAGGGATAAGATCCTTCCTCCAGAAAAATAAATAGTAAATACATACTGTAGTGATATTTGAAAACACTCTATCCTCAAATACTCCTAACCATCTAGATAAAACATATCATAAACCATAAAGAAGATTTTTAACCCTTTTCCCAAGTTGCTGCACTTTGAATACAAACAAAGATAGCCAAAATGGAAATACCTATCAGGCTCTATCTCTAGTGTTGTTACAATATATATTTGTACATGTAGCCTATATAAAATAACTTTTTACATTTTTCTCATAAAAAGAGCAAAGAAATTCGGTTTGGGCTGAATAATTGTGAATTATGTGTTAAATAAAAATAAAAATGTATGGTTGACTTAGCTCCTTGACTCCAATGTTATGGTAATACATGATGCTGGTTACGTGCAACACAATCAAATAGCCATTGGGCCCTCATTGGCTCAATTTGCCATTGTGACTGGTGTGACCCCATTGCAAGATGGTCTCTAGTTTCATTGAGTGCTTAGTGTCACTAACGCAACGTTTAAACTACAATGTTGAGATGCTCGAGTCTTCATAAATGGTCCCATCTCAATGTCTAACAAACAACCCAATAAATACTATCTTTAACCATATTATAGGAGGCTTGAATATGGATTGTTTTGCTATTCTAGAAAAAACAAATAGCTGTTTTGAAAAAGCACCAGCTTCAATACTGCGTGCCCCAGGTGCTCAAACCTGCAGGAGGTGATTGTTCTCTAAAACCACAGGCTTCCTACACACAAACAACGATGAAGACTGTTTTTCTTGACTATTCACAAGAGGAAAGAACAAGCACCTGTATGTGTGATCTGAAATATAATACTCAGAATGAGCTCAAAGCACATGTGAATAATGAATTAAGACATTATATATATATATTTGAATAGGGAATTTAAACACTTCACATGTATGCAATTTCTGTCATTCTAATACAATTTTTTATGAAATGTGTCATTCAAATCCAAGTGTCTTATAGCCTACTTGAATTTGGATTTTAACACCAAATGGCCCTTTGTTTTTTCCTGCAATGGTTTATTTGTTATTTTCCCCCAAAATGTCACGTGACCTAACAAACATCTTATCCCAGACCTTTTACTTGTTACTACCCTTTTTTTAAATACTGTTTTTACTATTCATTCTACCGTGTTCTGTGCTGTTTTATATTGTTCTATGCTTACTGCTTGTAGCACTTCGGGATTTGTCTTCAAATATGAAGTGGGTTACAAATAAAACACATTATTATTATTATCTTACTGTGCAATGTCATTTATTGTAAATTTCTAATTTCTAAAGTGTTTGTCTAGACCTACTGTAAGTGAGTATTTCTTTGGAAAGCTAAAGTCACAGAATAGAACATAATCACATTGTAGGCTATTATATTAGAGCTGCAGCAGCGTGCATGGAATCCCTTCCCGACTCGTGCAGTCTCCTGGGTCAGACCCCCAATTCTGATGTCGACATTGTCTCATTCTCCAGGATTTTCCCTGAAGGCATCTTTACTTGTGAGCTCATAACAAAAAACCAAGCGTGTTTAAACGGAGGATGTCCTCCCATGGTTACCTCTTAAATAAAGCACATTATTTATGTCAGAGTTATCTCATGGCAGGTATATCTACAGGGATGCACTCACCAAATAAACACTTGTTAAATTCAGTGCAATATTGAAAATGGTGAGGCTTGCAGTTGAGTTTGCTGTACCGTCAGAGGTGTTGATAGTGGTGTTGCATTTTGCTTTAGTGTTTTTGTAACTTTTTGTACAGTGTGAACACATTTGCATGGTAATTGGATTGGAATGCATTATATTGTATAAGCCATGTGCCATCACAACCCTATTATCTGTTCATTATTATCAGTGACAATGATTGTTAAATGGTTGAGAGGAGACATATTATTACTGCAGGATTATGAACCCGAATAAAAATAGCATGTAAATACAATATGATACGTTTACATTGCAGCAGCCTTATACAATTTTAAATTGATTACTGAATTAACAAACTGTAGCTTTTAAAATAACGTCATATGATGAAATGAGCAATACACATACTATATGTGCTCCTGTGTACCATACACTCATGGACACAACCACATATACACGGTAAATATAGATAATGGGAATATTACAGTATTAAGTATAAAGGTATACCTTAAAGCTGTTACAGCCCTAGAGAAAAAGCCTAAGTGTCTAATTAGTGATTCAAGCATTTGCCTTTATTTGATTATTATTAGAGACCGGAAACATTGCAGAAATGTACCTTACCTGTAACCCAACAAAGTGAGCTGCAAAAGATAGGTAAATAAAATGTAAAAATTGCTGACAAGTTTCAGACATCCCAGGCCGAAAAATGATCAAAAATAATATTCCAACCACTCCAAAAATGCAGCCGAAAGAATGACCAACGTATTGAATCATCACCTTTGTTAAACAGCTACACTGAGAATTTTTCAAACTGCATTTCATATTGCATCTACTATTCAAAAAAACTATTGGTATCAATGCCAGTGTATGAAGTAGCACAAAAGTGAGGATGCCTGGGAAATGGAAGTATTATGGTCTGATGAGTTGTCTTGCATACCCCTTACATCATGTTGTTGGACCCACTGAGGCGGTTCCTCTGTATGGTCCTGTAACAACATTTCACAGCCTGCTTGGTCACCAAATGGAAACTGAAACTTTATGTTCAGTGTGCAGAAGGCAAGGTAGACTCCTTCTTTTTTTGTCCCAAAGATTTCCTTTTTTTAAAGTCTGGTCCGGTATTCTCTTGTAGTTCATAGGACCCGTTCATGACCAAAAAAAAACTATGTATCAAATGCTTGGTGTCAGAGAACAATACATCAGCAGAAGAATGCGATAGGACAGGATTAGTAGTCAGACGGCACATCCAGATTTTCCTCATGGCCCGACAGCCACTGATTTATTATCATTAGTCATAATGGAAGAAATATGCAGCAATAGTTACTGTGTATCAGACATCAATTTTCACTTCTGAGAACAAATGCATTTTGGCAGTAGTAAAACGACAATGACATTAGGTCAGATGAGGGATGATTTAACACTCCACTTCAGTCTCACAACTTCGGTGCTTGAAATGTATTCAGACGCATTCTGTCTGTACTTTTGGAGAGGTGGAGAAAAAGCATTTTTGAATGCTTTGGTGCTACACAAAAAGAAATGACATGTTCATGATACTTTTGGCTAAACACAGAATGATGGCCCTGCATATCAATTTGTTTCTTTCAGCTGCAGGGAAGGCAGATCAAAACCTGCCATATGCTACAATACACAGCTTAAATGGCTGAGAATCTGTATTAATGCACTAGGTGTGGATCACAGAATTACAATATCCATGGCAGTAAATCAAGGCATTAGCTTTATCTGGGTCGCCCAAACTCAGGGCGGTTCACAGTATTGCTTTGATAAAACGTGCAGAGAATGATGAAAGTTGGCCAAAAGACATCCATTCACGTGGCAACAAGGGACTTTTAGAAAAAGAACATTAATTATAACAGTCATTTGAAAAACATAACTTCAAGAAATGAAATCTCATGTGGACGGCCATTTTAATGAAATGTTGTGTTGTTTCCAGCAGTCACAGTATTATTTGAGTATAACTCTTCCAACTTTAAAACACATGACGTATACTTTAATGGATAAACAGTAGGAGAACACCATTCATAACCCTTTCGTTAGGTGGACAAGAAACTGTGTAATTCAGTTAAACATGTAACTAGTACATTATGAAACACACTGTGATAATATTAGGTGATTTTATCACTTTGTTTTAGCTTCAAATTACTGGCTTCATAACAGGGCCGTAAATATCCACATAAATGCTCCCAGTAGCTGAATTCAAACATTACAACACAACTGGTTTGGATACACATTCATACATTATTCAAAGCAGCTCATTACTCTGTGCAAATTGCAATATTTTAATACGTACAAGGTCCCAAAATGCAAATTAACAAAGATGGATCACCAATTATATGAGACTTTCTGATTTTCAAGTGTTGGTAATACTTTAAATCTCTTTGTGTCTTTGACACAATAATATCATCTTTATTAAAATATTAAATGATTGAACCAAATGAAATACATTTCCACATACAGAATATTCAAAAAGATTCCTTTTTCTCTGAGCTTTTGAAATGTTTGAATGCTTGCTGTATTGCTTTCCACTGCCACACTCGCCAGTCATGTGTTTCAGATGACACGCCAAATTCAGCAGAGCCTATAAATGGCTGCTGGCTTGTGGTGGATGGACTCGGCAGGGTTTTAAGTTTTAGCATCTAGCTGCTGGTTAGGTTGGCCACTACCCAAATGGACCAATCTGTAGTAAATGGGGTTACACTGCTTCTAAGGTTGCAGATGGTGTTTGAAAGCACACAAAGCTTTTTTTACAATTTGGAAAAAAAGAGTTGGACACAACAAGTGGGTTTGGGTGGTGTGCAAGGTTGACACTTTAAAATGAAGGTGATTGTTAACACTCAGTTTGAGGTTGGAATCCATTCTCCATCCTGGTCTCTGCGGAGACAATCATCCTCTAATAACAGTAATCTATCTCCTCGTTGGCCAGGACAATAGCTGTTCTGCAGGGGATGTAGACCTGAGAGAGAAAGAGAGACAAAGGGAGGGAAGAAGGGAGGGAGAAAAGTGAGTTGACAATTGAAGATTAATGACGTTAACGAGATCACCAATTTCGCTGATTATTGAATCTTTACGTTTATCCTTCCTTAGAAGTCAGACGTGGAGACACCCGGTGGTGCCTTCATGATCATTGCTTCTCACAATCAAGGTCGACATGACGGCTTTGTGGAGGGGAGGAGAAGGAGTGAAGAAGAAGAAGAAGAGGAGAATGGGGATGGTGGGGTGTAATCAGAGAAATATTCAGATCTGAACAGAAAAATAAGTCTTCTGAGGATACAGTAGACAAACACCTTGGCTTTGATCAAAGAGGATTGTCAAGGTTAGAGAGGTGTATAATCAAAGTGTGACAGAGACCTCTGGGTGGCAGTGGAGTCAGCACATCTGCAGCTTGTGCCCGTGAGCTCATTCTGTAGCTTCTCATTTCAAGCTCTGCGCTGTGGAGAATATGCATCCTGCCGTAGATGGTGCTGAATATTTCTTGATCAGTGACTTAAACTGTCTGAAATTCATTAAACACTGCATTCAAAGCACGTGCATGCAAATGAGCAATCCCACTTTAAGTGGGGGCAGAGAAATAATCATAATTTTCAATTCTGAACTCTGCAATCAATGCAATTACTGTGCATTTCATCATCTCCATATATTGGCGGTGCTTCATCTCTAAACTATGGATTCTGAGAAGATACATCTGCCAGTGGGCATAAGCCGAGCTAAAAGAATCTCCAGAGTTATGGTGGACTGAAGAAACAAAAAAACATGTCAGCAAAAAAAAATAAGCACACCATGAAAAAAAGAAAGAAACCGAGCCTGGAAATGTCAGATTCCTTATATATACACAGTACAAAGAAATCCTAGTGAGGGTGTTCGTTTGGAGCGGTGTAGCTAATAAAGTCTTTGATCAATCCTTTTGATATTCACAGTGTCGCAAGGAGCCACTGTGTGCCATTACTCATTTCAGAGTTGTGCCAAAGGAAAAGCCAAGCAGACATAAATGATGCTATATTTCCCAACAGAAAAGTGAAAAAGAGCGCAGGACTGTAAACAATTCAATCACCCCCTGAACTCGTCAAGACGCCCCTCGGCATCAGAGGATCTGGGCTCGCTGTGGATGTGTTTCTTTGGCAACAGTTTGTCACCGAGGGAGTCGGGCAGCGCGGTGCAGAGACACTGACACAGGCATTGGTGACTAATTAAACAGTCACAGTGGGAGAGTCTCATGCAGGAGCGGAGAGAGGCAGAATGAATCACTGCAGCTGTTAAGACAAAAGCTACCACTGCGCCTAACCTGGAATATGTCAACAGCTTTTAATTCCAACAGATAGATAGCAATAGTGACAAATTCCAAATCAATCTGCGAACAAAGCACAGCGGATAGTCCCAAATGTTGGCACTGTAATTAGTCGAAGATCTTCTAATTAACATGTTAATCCTTACAACATGAAGGTGTTATACATTACAAACATTCATGCTCTAAATACTGAAGGACCTGCTACGCATTCACACTTATAATTCAGGGTAATCAAAGAGAAAAAAAAAGGGTGATATATTTCTTATCATATCAAATGTAGTCTTAATTATTCGAGGTTCCTGGTGTATCATATGCGTAAATGTAAGGGCTGTACCGGTGACTTTGTAGATGTTAGCCCATCTACTGCAAATATTTTGACTTTATTTACAGCTGACAATTTTGCTGCTGTGACCTAGACTTTTTAATGCATGCTTTTCAATTCTCCAGAAGAGCATACAACATTTAAATCTGTTGGCAGACCCCTGAAATGTTTTTTGCTGTTTAAACTATGTGTGGAGATTTGGGGAAGCACGTACAAAACCAACCTACAGCCGTTATGCACATTACAAAAAAAATGGCTATAAGAGTTATCAATAATGTTGGATATCTTGAACACACTAATGTATTATTTTTGAAGTCACACATATTGAAGTTCACTGATCTGGTTAAATTTAAAACGGCACAAATCATGTACAGAGCCAGACATAATGTACTTCCTAGGAAATTAAAAACATTGTTCGTAGACAGAGAGGGTGGGTATAATTTGAGAGGAAATCTACATTTTAAACAACTCAAGGTCAGAACAACTCTGAGAAGTGAGTATAACAATCTGTGGAGTGATTTTATGGAATGGTTTGGAGCAGGAGTTCAAACAAAGCACAAGCATCATTCAGTTTAAAAGGATGTACAGAAACACTTTTTTGGAAAACTATGAGAATGAAGAGAGGTGATTGAAGATGAGAAATTATTGTAAATGTATGTATAAATGTAAAGATGTGAGTAGGACTTGCATAATGATTTAAAGGACAATCATTGATCAAGTAAGGGGTGGGAATTAATAAGCATTTGCTTCCTCCTGCTCCCTTTAGGACACATATGATTTTTTATTATTAATATGAAGACTTTTTCATCATGAATGTGGATAAATACTGTATTTTAACAATTTTTTTTCACATTTGTTATTTTTTATTTGTTTAATCTGTTCGAAATAAAGATTGAAATGAAATGAAGACTATCAAGGGTTGGACCAGTTTATAGTTTATGCCTTCTAATTTCGAGCTCCCTTCCATTCATCCTATATTAATTTAAAGTTTCTCAGGCATAATGTCACACAATCCCCACCAGTTTAGCGCAATTTCTGCTGCTTAAAAGCAACCCAGTTTTTCTAGCTTTGTCTGATTACAGTTTGTCCAAGCCTTTGCTGCTTTCTGATGAGTCATTTGGTAGGTAGGTGTTTATCAATTCACCGACAGACATCTATGCATGAAGCAGATTGCAGATCTAAGCACCAGCAGTTACTACCAGCAGCCAGATCCAAGAGCAGTAACAGTACAACAAAACATTGTGTTCAAATCAGAGCTGAAACTAAAATTGGGGGAAGAGAAAGTGAAATAGTTTGTTTTCAAAGTACATGTATTGTATTAGTGGAAAGTAAGCCAAGGCCATGTTTTTTTAAAAACTTATTCTGTCTTACGGATGTTCTTGCGTTGCCTGGTATCACACTCTCAAGTGAGAATTTCTACCCACTTCAAGAGCAGAGTCTAGCCCTGGGGCTAATACTCAATATGATCAATGTTCAAACACACTGACGAAGGATTCATGAGGTGCTTCTCAGGAATATATCATCTACTTGGTGTCTGAATCCTGACCCGGGCTGCTGGCAGGAGCACAGCCCGACTATCTGTGAGCTTTGAGTCTCCAGGCATGTCTCTGTTTGGATCCATCACTCGCTTAACAAGGATCAACCCCCGTAAGGACTCGTGTGCATGCATCTAAGACTCTAGGTAATAATATGACCCAGACTTGGTAGGTTAACAGAGTCACCAACTGATTAAAGGATATTATCGGTTTCCGTTTACAATTTTTATTTATTTTTTGTAGTTTTAGTTGTTTTGTCACCATGTTCAGTGATCAGCACTTCATTTTTGTTTTGTTTTGTCCTCCATAGTCACAATAAACAAACATTAAGCTCCTGAACAAAGTAAAATAGGGACGTAACAGAATTGTAACTTTCTGAGCCAACAGTATCTCAGTTTACAATACGGCTATTGAATAGAAAACTTTTAAATTGCGTTTTTATAACTCGACACACACTAGTTAAATGAAAATACATTGAAATGCATTGTGATATCCTTGGAACACTTTTAATGTATACTCACAGTGTTCATTATTCCATACAGTATACACAGTAGGATCTATCAGTACTGTATATTTGTACGTGCAGGTCCCGTCACAGTTGTATTCTGTAAATTCACACTTCAACATCCACCCTTAGATGTTTCTGATGGGAATGTACATCTTTTGATCATTTTCTACAAGCCTGCTTCGTTTCCCTCACTTTCTTCCTCACTTCAGCTTAATTTCTTTTTGTGAAACTGTCAGAGGAGACAACCCCTTTGATGCATGCAAAGTTTATCAAAAGGTTTTCAAGCGGCTAATTATTCATCAGTGTTTCTTAGCGTAACGTCTTTGACATTATAACACTCCAATAAAACTATAAATGTGACAAATACTGGCACGTGTTTTTTCACTTTGAGAGTTTGAGTCTCTGACTACACTACATTTTCGCCTTGCTAAATTAATAAATTGTAATCGTTCAATCGCTGTAACCCTAGTTGTTGATGTGTGAGATTCTCATGAAATGCCCTGCTGAGTATATCAAGCTGTCAGTTCACTCACATGAAGGCTTACAGTAGCTGCAATATCTTTTTATTTACACAAAGGGAAGAGTGCATTTTCCAAACTTGTATTCAGTTTCATTGCAAGCTGTTCAAACATCTACACTCTTCATATTGCTAGGGATGAAATGAAATAAGCCCTGATTCTTTTGTTATAACTAACAAACCCTACTTTTAAAAAAACAATGAAAGGACGGTAAGAGTGAGTTTAAACTGTACATTAACTGACAAAGACAAAAGAATAAGCTATAACTCACCATGAATCTCAGTAAAGCTGAGATTAGGGGGATCATACTCTGTAGGTTCATCGTCATGCAACTCTCTCACATTTCATACATGTTATTTTAAGTTATAAGCCATTTTGAGCTCAATAATATAGACCCCTACTCAATCCCTCAGAATAAAAGCCTACAGGCCGTTTACAGAGTAAAAGATCAAATAATTGTATTACAATGAGCTTGTATTTAATGCAAAGAAGGATACACAAGATTAAAAAATAAAGCCTACAGGCATTTTAATGGGACACGTGTGCCTACTGTTTATGTGATGAGTGCAAAGCCCCGGGTCTGACTGCACTGACAGGCTGTTCCTTGTTTTATCGGATACTGGGGGTGAGAGTCAGCTACAACACACATACTGTAAATGATGTTAACACTGAGAATTGATAGCTGTCTTCAACAAGCCGCCAAAGCTGTCCTTTAAGTTGTTAGCCAAGAAGGGTTAGGTCTGATTTGAGTTCTGTCGGGTTCAGATTCAGGCCTCTCAGACTGGGTTTAGGCAACAGATGGATCAGCATTTCTTTGAGCTCGGTTTACTGAGCTAAATCTTTCCATCGCTAACTCTGACAGTCACTGTTTATCGAATAGTGTTTATTTTTTTGTCTCTATCTTCACTTTTGCTGAACCAATGTCAATTTCCCCTCTGTGGGAGGAATAAAGGCATTCTGATTTGATGTGTTTCAATTTGTCTGCTAAATATCCCTTCCCACTGGGCTTGAACTCAACCCAAACTCATCATTTTTAACTCATTCATCAATTATCTCAGCATCTACAATAAATGCAGATTATTTCATTTTAGATTTGCATGGTACTTTAACTTGAACTACTTATTAACCTAACAGCAACCAATAAACAAATGTGAAATTTGAATTATTTGCGACAATTTTGTATACTACTTCTAATAAGGCACTTTCTATTAAGCTACAGTATGAGTGTTGACTAATGTTTTACTAACCATATCAAAACCATTAGTTACAGCTGATACTACATTTGTAAAGGTTGACTTAGACTTTTGAAGTGGGGAATCAAATACATCTAAATATGTTTTATAGCAAGCCATGTAACAGAAGAAGCATTTCATGTAGTAGCCTATACTTTAAAATCTAATACATTTATTAATTTGTTATCAATTGAAATATTATTATTTTGGTTTAGTTTGTTTTGAAGAACATTTTTCTCTTTATTGATTTGTTTAATAATGGAGAAAAGAATCAAAAAAGCTAAGAGATGTAACACAACAACAGTTCAGCAGCACATTGGTAAACACGGTTCTGTTACATGATGTCAGCCTCCCGGGCCACGGGGATGCTCTCGGCTTCTTCCAATTATGTGCAGTCTGAGGAGTGTTGCATTCTTGGAGGGTAGGAAAGTTTGTTATTGCTCAAAAACGGGGAAGCTGGAGAACGGGCGGACCCATTAAAAAGACAAAAGAGAGGAAGTTTTGTGGACACTTTGAAGCAACAGTTGTTAAATATAACATTGACCATGTGGGCAACTGGCGCTGCCCCCACAAAAGCCTTCTCTGATTATTCTTATCATAACCAGGTAGGTGTGAGGAGGAGGAGGAGGAGGAGGAGGTGGTGAAGCATTTTTATGCAAGACTACAGTCTCTATTTGCAATCAGGGTGCCTGTGAAGGAGATACAGCATCCACAGAAGGGTCCCCACCCTGCCGACTCCTTCCACTGCCTTTCATTCCACATTAGTCCATTAGGGTGCCAACATTTGCAGATGACTTGTTAACTAAACTTCACATTTTGGCCAAGAGGGACGTGGGTGAAGCAGTGGTGTTTGAATTAATAAGAGATTTAAGAGAATGTAGAATTTGAGTCCTTATCTGATGAAACCTAAGCTAATACGATGGAGGATAAGTGTCTGTGTGAAAGAGGCAAAGGCTTTTTAAGGTTAAATAATGTTGAAACGATGCTCTAAATAATTAGAGGTTGTCCAAGCAAATTCTTTAGGCTTCAAAGTGCTCGGTCCGACTCCTAATATACAGTTCATGTAGAGTGATAACCTTCATCCATTAACTGCAACACTTTAAGTATTGATCTGAGGAGGTTCAAGTTGAGTTCAGGTAAACAAACACCTTATCAGGTGCTGTGTCAACTCTTGTAATAACTGGAGCAGCTTAAGTGCACTGCATGGAGATATTTATTATTTGACTTAACAACCTAAAAAAAAACAGCAGGGGAGACGAAGGCTTTCAGACCACTTCCCAGACATCACTGTCCCCACACATTCATCGGATTCATTAACATAAGATCTAACACATGCAATCAGCCCAGTTAGAGTTGGAGTGTCTGGGTATCAGTGCCGATCCTCACTAATTCATTCCTGACCTTATTCATAAACATCTTAGGGCCTTTCAGCATTTAAATCAATGAAAAAAATTACATCAGGAGGCAAAGATGAGGAAGACTTTCGAGCACTCTGCTTAACATGCACATCAGTGTGTCTTTCTATATCTCAAGTACCGACCTATTTCATACTATTAGCCTAAAGCAGTCCCCATGATGGAAGCCCAGTGGTCTGTTCTCCGAGATACGTCTCTCCCCTCTGTGGGGCCTTGTGAGTTTAAGAGGCATTCACATAAAAAGTTAAGTTCTAACACAATGCATAATGCACATTGTTTGCTGGAAAATCTGAAAGGGCTGTAGATATCAGACTCCCATAATACCTCAATGACTCCAGGATAACTGCCAACATGAGTAGGAATGCAGATATCATATTCATAAACAATGGACACCATGCCCTGATAGGCACATCTAGCCTTTTCTTTTAGAGATGCAGCCACATTTGCTCATTTTCTGGATTCCGCATTAAAGGCTGATCATATTAATGAGGAAGATACTAAATTATAAAGCAGTGGTTTTGCGGAGAGGCCCAGACCAGGGAGATGTTGGCTGTTTGCCAGAACAGGCAGCTCTCTTTCATGACAGCACACTTAAACCTCATTAGAATGGCTTCGAAAGGATCCTCTCAATACAAACTCCATTTCAAGTTAATTAAATTGATTTGTGAAATCAAACACGAAACATAAAAGGACAAAACATTAAAACACTGACGACCATTTTGTCATATTTTGTAATTGCTACAAGCAGGTTGTGTGTACACCTCTTACCGTGCACAAAGAAAAACACTAAACCACTGCAAACCAACAAAACAATATCCACCTGGTCAATGAATAGAATAACTGGCCAGTTTGAGGGCATTACTTGTTATAAACTAATGGCAGTGCAGCCAGGAAAAGGTTATGATATCTGATGTGAAGTAAGCTCACTAAAGTACATTTCAAATGGTTAGTAATGTTTATAATTGATTGATAATGTGTGAGACTTTCTGCTTCCTATACATAATCCTAAAGATACTCACTTGTATTTGTAGCTCTTAATATGAGCATTTTGTGTAACATTAATTAAGGAATTATATTAAAGTGTACCAGTGTCAGTATCCAGGTTCTCATTAGTTAATGGCCTAAATCGAAACAGTCTGCAAATACCACACGTTTCAATGCAGCTAGTACAAATTAAATGCACCTTTCATCCAATTTGTAACAATACGAATTAATGCCAGACATGCGAGTTGGTAAAGCTATTGGCAGAATACATAAGAGAACAACAAAATGCTTGTCCAAAGTTTTAATCCATCTTTTTTTTCTCCAGAGATATTCATGAAGCTGTCTCATCACCACCCACAGCTGCTTTTGATACTTTTCAGCTGTGAGCAACTCCTTCATATGGGTAACTGCGTTGAGGGAAAATGGCGTCAATCAACAGCGCACTCCAAAATCATTTAGTATGCACACTGACATTTTTGAGTACACTTAATTTTGTCACTTTTTGCGATGTGAATGTGCAACGTCCTCCACTGTTAGAATTAGTATGCAGAGTGGGATGGTGATACAGCAGGGTTATTAGAAAAGTGGCAGAGAGAAGGTAGTCGACAACAATGGCCCAGGACTTCTGATTGGGGTGCACTCCATAATAGTGAGGATAACAAGAGATGACCTTTGATAAATCAAAACAGATTTACCTTTATGGAGTTTTGGCGTCCATTGAATCCGTGGGCCTCTGTGAAGAACTCTGTGTTGTGGTTCAGCCGTCCGTGACCTCCATACAGATGCTCATCCGAATTCAGCTTGATTTTGTATCTGACAGAGATTGACGTTAAGGTGCAATAGCAGTGGGAAACTAGATTATAAGATCTAAGACATAGGAAGCGCAATAGAAGGTTTTATCACCGGCAAGTTTGCCGTTCAGATTTGGTTTAGCCGTGTTCAGCAGGTTTATATTCATTGAAGTCTTCGCATCAATCAGCATTCTTCTCCCCTCCGCAGCACCACAGAGTGACGGAGCGGAGCCCAAACAGACGAAGAGAATGCTGCCTAAAATGAACATAAATACAAAAGTGATTCAGCCATGGCCTAGACATCCTGCCTGCCTTCATGCCTGCATAATCGATCTAATTTACTGCATAAATAATTAAATGCATCAAGTGTTCAATAGGAAAGCAGAAAATACACTGTCCTTAAAACATATCCATTCCTCAAGGACTCTTTTCATGTTTTGTTTTTTTAACAGTGTAATCATTTTTGCTTTTTCACATGGTTTTAGATATTGACACATTTCCATAGTATTTATTATACTCACATTGATATTTAGTGGAGGCACCCAAAGGATTTTCTGCATTCAGGTCTGATGTTTACTTATCAAAACGCATCAGCTTTTTACATCCACTGTATACTTTGTGTGGAATCTTTCTATGATTTGTGGTACGATAAAACAATGAAACATGTCATCAGTGTGTGGGAAAGAATCAGAATCAAGTTTATTGCCAGGTATGTTTACACATGCAAGGAATTTGCGTTGCTACATGTACAGTGGGGCAAAAAAGTATTTAGTCAGCCACCAATTGTGCAAGTTCTCCCACTTAAAAAGATGAGAGAGGCCTGTAATTTTCATCCTAGGTATACGTCAACTATGAGAGACAAAATGAGAAAAAAAAATCCAGAAAATCACATTGTCTGATTTTTAAAGAATTTATTTGCAAATTATGGTGGAAAATAAGTATTTGGTCAATAACAAAAGTTCATCTCAATACTTTGTTATATACCCTTTGTTGGCAATGACAGAGGTCAAACGTTTTCTGTAAGTCTTCACAAGGTTTTCA